CGTGCAGGGCGGCGATGCCATCGCGCATCTTGTCCAGCTTCTGCTGCCCAGACTTGAGCCGCACCGACAACGTCTGCAGCTGTGCGTACATGGGCCTGGACGCCTGCAATTTCTGGTGTATGATCTCCTTCTCAGTGCGTAGCCCCAGCAGGTAGGCCACGCACTTCCCATCACTGGCGAACTTGCCAAGCACCGCCAGCTGCTCATCAATCGACTTGAGTCTGTGCCGCAGCTCGGTGGTCTCAGCCTCGCTGAGGCTCTCGCCCACCGCCTCGGCTCCAGAACCCTGCGAATCCACGGACATGGCGGCCGCGTCCGACGGAGGGGCCGCCGCAACCCCATGCGTCTTGAGCCGCTTGACTTCGGACTCGAGCTCCTTGATCTTCGCAATCGCATCCTTGTAGTCCTTACCCTTCTGCCACGGAAGGTCCCCCCCTTTCCGAAAGGAGGGAGTGGGCGGCTCCACGTGGCACTTGAAGCAGGACGACTTCCACATAGAACATAATGCACACTTCTTAGCGTCGGGGTGATTCCACCATGCGTTTCCCGTGCGGTCATTGATGCAAGACCTGCACTCCCAGCGCCGCGCGTGCTGCTGCACCCGCGCCGCCATGAAGAACTGCTGGGAGCTAAGTCCGCCCCTGCGCAGGCAGAGACGGCGAACGGGCCTCCCGACACGGTCACGAGACTGAGTGTGGGGGCCCAACTCCCACTGTGAAGGCACGAGAAAACAACTGCTGGCCGCGGACTAGCGGTATCCGTTCGGTCCCCTGGGGAACAAAGCATCTTGGGCCAAAATGGCTACGGAGGGCCAAGGCCCCAGCAAGAGGAGGAGGAGGAGGAGGAGGAGGAGGAGGAGGAGGAGGAGGAGGAGGAGGAGGAGGAGGGGGAGGAGGAGGAGGAGGAGGGAGGAGGAGGGGGAGGAGGGGGGGAGGAGGAGGGGGAGGAGGAGGAGAAGGAGGAGGAGGGGGAGGAGGAGAAGAAGGAGGAGGACGAGGAGCTGGAGGGGGAGCGAGGGACGTGGAGGGATCAGAAGCTGGGTCAACCCACTCCGCGCAGCGCGCCCCGCGACGCGCGGTCATCTCTGCGCCCTCGCGCCGCTCCCCTTTGTCGAGCAGGGGCCGACCGTCCCGGCACTCCTGCAGTCCTACCACGACATGTTCTCATCACCCAAAAATGTTCGAAGAACAGAAACAACGTCCTTAGAACATGAAGCCGATGTGATACAACAAGACAGCCCCGGCCAGAAATGTTCCAAGAGCACGTCGTGGACACCACAAAAAGGTTCTTAGAACATCGTTTGGTAGGGCTATCGGCGAGCCAGGACGCTTCGCCACTGCTTGCCTTCGGGCAGGGCAGCCGCTCTGCCCCCGGCCGCGACGCGTTCTCCTCGTCGCGCCGCCGAGGGCAACACGAGGAGGCCGACGCCCACGACTTGACTGCCGCGATCCTGCCGCGCCGTGCGGGTGCCGCTCCGACGACCGGTGTGGCCGCCCGGGTCGGCCGACGACGCGGGCCTCGATCTGTTTCGGCGGTGGACAAACCTCCCTCGGGAGCGGCAAAGAGGGGGGTGTCGAAGAGGGGGGTGTGCAAATCATGACCGGCGGCATGTGCGCGGCCCAGCGGGCGGGCCAGGGACGTAATGAAATAAGAAGAGGCGCCATGAGATCTGGGGAAATATCATGGCCCACGCCATGATATCCACCCCCCCCTAGTCATCACCCCCCTCTTTTCCGCCCCCGACTCCCTTTCTGGGCAGTCGAAGCCAATCTGGCGCCAATCTGGCAGGCCCAATCTGGCAAACGGGGGCAATCTGGCGAGGGAGCCAGCGCGAATCCAGTCTGGCGACTAACCCAAATCATCCAGTTTGGCCGGGCCAGATTGGCCCTTGGGGCCCAATCCAATCTGACAGTCTGGCCTTCGACTACCCAGCCTTTAGCAAACTTCCCTTTAGTGAAAGCGGCCCGGGACCGAAACCGACGGACCTGGACCCGCAAGAATAACGGCCGCGACTTCCTCTCGCGAACCGAAAAGGGCCGATTCGCCAATCGACGTGCCAGGGTAGGAGGTCCACCCCCCGACTGTTGGGCCAGTGGAGCGCGGATTGCCCGGCTGAGACCTGGAGAGCCAAGAGAAGGCTTTCGGCCGCACCTTGACTGGCAAAAATCGCCGAACTATCCCCTCAACGAACCGGGGGAGTCCCCCCCCCTCGAAATCCCCCCCCCGCCTTTCCTATAACCCCCCCCCATCCGCCCCCCTCGTCCGGTAACCCCCGCCCCCAAAACCACCACCTCCGCCCCGCGATTCCCGAACCCGAGGGAGGGGGGGGGTTCAAACCCCCCCCCCTGGGGATTCCAGAAAGAGGGGCGGGGGGGTTCAAACACCCTCCCCCTTTTTTTTCGGATTCCACAAAGTAGGGGAGGGGAGGGGAGAAATTCAAAACCTTCCCACACGCCGCTGGCAAATGGGAACGGCGAGTGTCGAAGCCAAACGACGGCGACGACGATGAGCGCTGGCGCCGGATGACAGGTTCGAACCAGCCCACCCCTCCCCTCCGCGGAATGAAAATGTACTGCAACTGCAATGCAAATGCACCGCAGGTCAAAGCAATGCAGCGCAACAGGATGCAATGCAACGCAACGCAACGTAACGCAATGCAATGCAACGCAACGCTATGCAATGTAATACAATGCAACGCAACGCAATGCACTGCAATGCAATGTGTGCCTCGCCACGTGGCAACGCCGCGGGGCCGAACAGCATACTTTCCCCTCCACTCGCCACGTGGCAGCGCCTTGGCGGGCGTCAAAAAACTATTCCGCTCTACTCGTCACGTCGCAGCGCCGCGGGGGCTGAGAAACACATATATATATATATATATATTCCACTCAGTTCGCCACGCGGCACCGCCTGGGGGGGTGAAAAAACATACTATTCTACAACCTTGGTCACGTGGCAATGCCGCTTACGGCCGAAAACATACCCACTCCAATGGCCACGCAGCAACCTGGAGGCGCGAAGAAACAGTATTCCATCCACTCTACTTGTCACGTGGCAGCGCCGCAGGGGCCGAAACAACAAACTACTCCAGTCCATTCGTCACGTGGCACCGCTGCGGGGGCCGAAAATAATACTATGCCACTCCACTCGCCACGTGGCAACGCCTGCAGGCGCGACGAATTCGTATTCCATTGCAGTCGTCGGCAGCGCCGTGGGAGCCGAAACAAACATTATGGCACGAGGGCGGCGACGAGGACGACGACGAGAACGACGACGACGATGATGATGATGACGACGACGATAACGAGGGCCAGGGAGGCGAACAACAATTCAATATTATCTTCCTCCTCGTTCTTCTCCCTGCCCCTTTCCTCCTCCCTCTTGCATCCTCCCTCATCCTTCCTTCCTCCCCCATCCCCTCCTCTTCCCCTCCTCCCTGCTCCTTCTTCCTCCGTTCTACCTTCCTCCCTTTCCCTTCTCCTCCTGTCCTCCCCCTCGCCCGCAACTTACTACAATGCAATCTATATTGCAAATGCAGTGCACCTGTAACGCAATGCGATGCATGCCACGCATCAAGGTCGTTGGCTGACTGGCTGGTTGGCTGGTGACTGGTCGGTCGGCAGGCAGGCAGGCTGGTTGGCTGGCTGACTGGGCGGCTGCCACGCGGCCACGCCACTCCGCTCGTTACGTGGCAGCGCCGCGGAGCTGGAAACACATACTTGAAGGGGCCCCAGGACTCACAAGTAAATACACACAAATAAACATATTCCCCATATTTTCCCATATGTTCTTGGCTTTTGTCTTCCCCCCCACTTCCCATATTTTCCTATATTTTCCTGGGAGTCGACGATTCATTGTGTCTGTGTGTTTCTTTCCCTCCTGAACTCTATTCGCCACGTGGCACCGCCTGGCGTGGACCGAAATACCATTCCACGGTCCGTCTCGTGAGAACGCCGCGGGGGCTAATAACTGAGCCACTCCACGCGCCGCATGCCAATGCCTGGGGGCGCGAGGAAGCAGCATTCCATCCACTCTACCCGTCACGCGGCAGCGCCACGGGGGCTGGAAAAAAACACTATTCCACTCCATTCGTCACGTGGCAACGTTGCGGAGGCCGACGAAAAAACTATGCCACTCCACACGCCACGTGGCAACGCCTGTAGGCGCGAAGAACAATATGCAATTGTGGCCGTCAAGTGGCGTCCGGGAGAGGGGGGGGGGTGAACCCCCCTCCTCTCCCCCACACTTTCCGAATCCCCAGGGGAGGGGGGGGGGAGGTTCGAACACCCCCCCCACACTTCCAGAGGGGGTGTGGGTGGTTGGGTTTGACCCCCCCCACCCCCCCCACTGTCTCCCAGCTGCATCAGAAGACGCTCGTTCAGAGAGCCACCGGGCACGCCTGCTCGCAAGAGGGCCCCGAGGTACCAACCACCGTGTCTGGCTGGGGCCCTACCAGGCTATGGGATGGTGTATACGCCTCCCTGGCCGAGGCCAGGCGTCTGTACGCCACCCCAGGGCCCAAGATCGCGCTGGCCCAGGACGGCGGCTGGTTCTGCGGACAACTGTCCCGCGATTCTTGCGGTACTGCTGTGGGGAGAGAGAGAGAGAGAGAGAGAGAGAAAAGAGAGAGAGAGAGAGAGAGAGAGAGAGAGAGAAAGAGAGAGAGAGAGAGAAAGAGTGAGAGAGAGAGAGGGGTGCTCATGGGGGCTGGATGAGAGGGGTACGGGGGCGGGCGCCCCTTCTTCCCCCACAGGTGCCGAGCATGCTGCCTTTTCCTCTTCGAGCGCCACGCCGGGCGGGCTGCCGGTGCGGCGACGGGCTGGCAGTGGGGCCGGGACCCCTTTGGGGACGAAGGGCGACTGCTCGCAGGAGCTGCAGCTGCTGCGGCTCTCAATGAGCTCCGCCCCCACTGGCCAGAGACCGCTCGGGAGCCGGAGAGCCGCCCAGCGCGCACCACCGCCGCGCGGCGGCGGCGCGCAGCTCGAGCCGCCCGCCTCATCCGGCGCCGCCGAGCGCGCTCCGGAGCTCCCGGATCCTCGCCTCGCCCTGGGCGAGCTCCGAGCGCAGCCGCGCCTTCGCAGCCTCCGGCTCCTCCGCCGGCCCTGCGGGCCCCTCTGCCAGCGCGGGCGCCGGCAGCTGCGGCGGCGGCGGGCGGGCTGGCCAGCCCGTCGGCGGCTCCGCAGACTCGGGCGTGCTCGGCTCTGGGGTTAAGTCGGGCGTGTCCCCCTACAGGGGGATTTTCGACGAAAAATAAAAAAAACTCCAAACATGGCTCCCAAATTGTACAAAAAAAAATGCTCCCAAATAGTCCCCAGACTAGTTCTGGACTATTTTTGGATCTTCCCCCTGTAGAGGACAGGCCCGACTTGACTCTGGGGGCGAGGCCGCGGACGCCAGCTCCTCGAGCCACCCGCGCGCCCAGGCCGGCGCGCGCGGGGACCGCGGCCGCCCGGGGCTCCGCGGGTCCTCCTGCGGGTCCGGGAGACCCGCGCCCAGCACGCGGCGCTCCGCGCTGGGCGGGGCGTGCTCCGCGGCGGCCAGCGGCCGGGGGGCGGCCAGCAGCGCGAGCGCCTCGGGCCTGCCGCGCGCGTACCACAGCGGCGAGCGGCCCTGCCTGTCCAGGTGGTGTGGGCTCGCCCTGTGGCGCAGGAGCAGGCGCAGCAGCTGCTGCGGCCGCGGGTGGCCGTGGACGTTGATGGCGGCGCAGTGGAGGCCCGTGCGGCCGTCGGCGTCCTCCAGAGCCGCGAGGCCGGCGGGGCCGCCGCGCAGAGAGAGCATGAGCTCCACCAGGTCTGGACAGCTGCTGGAGCAGGCGGCGTGGAAGGGGCTCCTGCCCGAGCGGTCCAGCTGGTCTGGCCGCGACTGTGCCTCGAGCAGCGAGCGCGCCACCGGCAGGTGGGCGCGGGCGCACGCCAGCGCGAGGGGAGTCCGGCCGCGGAGGTCCCGCCCGTGCACGTCCGCCGCCCCCTCGAGCAGGAACCTGCAGGATGCCACGTGGCCCCCCTCCGCGGCCAAGTGCAGCGCGGACTTCCCGCTCGGGCCGTCGACATAGCTCATGAGGCCCGGCGCCCCGCTGCGGGCGCGCTCCCTCGCCAACGCCCGCAGCGCCGCGGCGTCGCCTGCGGCGGCGAACTCCAGGAAAGCCTGCGCGGCCGCCGCCCCCGAGAGGTCCCGCCAACCTGGAGGAGCAGAAAAACTGTACAAGCAGAAACTTTCGGAGCTCCGCGCGGACCGGGCCCCCCCGGCGACGCCTCGGGCGCCACCCCCGGCGCGCAGCCCGCCAGGGAGGGGGGTCCAGCGCAGATCCAAGAAACCCGCGCGGAGCGCCAAACGTTTATGATTCTAGCCCTTTTTTCTTCTTTAAGAGCAGTCGATGGAATGTGGGGGTAGGGTTCGGATGTCACACCTCATGGGGCTCGGCGTCGTCCAGCCGATGCCCATCCCCCACTGATCGAGGAATGCAGGGACGGAACAACGACACAGGCACAAACTTCGAGTCAGAGCAATCGATGCTGCGTGGGGATAGGGTTCGGATGTCACCACCTGATGGGTCCAGCGCGGGTCCAAGAACTCCGCGCGGACCTCCGAACATTTACGCTTGTGTCGTGTTTTGTTCTTCGACAGCCGCTGGCACCGCTTGATTGGCCGGCCGCTGCCGCCGAGCGCACTGCGCTCGGGCCGGAGCCGCCGCCGGCCGCCCGCCCGCCACCTCCGCCGCCCGCGCCGCGCCGCTCGCCCGGAGGCTCGGGGGCCCCTCGCGGGGGCCAGTCCGGCAGCCCGCTGCCTCCGAGCAGGGAATCGACTGCAGAATTGATCCGCTCCAATAGGGAAAAAACGAACCTACCTCGCTTTTGACCACCCTCGCGTCCAAGAGATACCAAACGATGCCAAATTGCAGCCTGTACTGGTCAGGCAGCTTGACGAGGAGGCGCGTGGTATGGCTTGGTGTTGCCTGGAAGCGAAAGCGGGGTAGGTAATTCACGCTCTGATCCAAAGCCGATGTTTTTTTTTCGCCGAGCCCATGCCACGTGCAGCGTCTTTTTCTCTTGTGCGCACCCTGAACAGATCGAGGGGGACGTCCCTTCTGGGGCAAATCGGCTCCTTCGTCGATCCCCTGCTCGATTCCTGCGCCCTGCAGGCCGCCCGGCGCACAACTCCCGCCCCCCGCGGCGCGCCCGGGCGCCGACGCGGCGCGCTCGCCGCACGCGGCGGTGGCCGCGCCGAGCCCCGGCGCCCGCGCAGCGATGGCGAGGGGCACGCCGAGCGCCCGGCGCAGCGCGGCGGGGCCGCTGGGGAGCGCCTCGGCGTGGCGCAGCGCAGCGGCCAGCGCGTGGCATTCGAGCGCGTGCCCGGGCAGCGGCGAGCGGGCGCAAGCCGCGGGGCCCGCGAGCATGGCCCTTCGCAAGGGCCGCGGAGACGTAAGTCTCGGGTTCGGGGGACTCGGGCTGGTCTGACGGGGCCAGCCCCGAAAAGGACGAGGCCCCATCTGGAATTCGACGCGAGCTCCCGCGGCAGACGTCCCACGAGAACTGGACCGTCAAGATCCAGGGCGCGCCCGTCGATAAAACTCGACAAACCCGAGTCCCAGCGCTCTCGAGTCTTACGTTTCCCCGACAAGGGAGCAGGCGGCCGCGGGCGGGCGCCCGCGAATTCCGAATTCTGGAGCCCAGGGGGGGCTGCGGATACCCGCCACCGTGCCGGCAGGCACTGTGGGCGGAGTGTCCTCGGGCCCCCTTCAGGTTCTCTGTGCGGGTGCTCAGAATACTCCAGATTTCGTAATAAAAGGGAGGGGGTCTCAACCCTCCCAGACGAAAAGTTTTAGACCCCCCCCGTGGGAGAACCCTCCAAAACATCGTCCCCAGACCCCCCCAGGCCCTCCAAGATAGCCTGGAAGAGACCCCCCCCGAAATCAGACCCCCCTCCCTTTATTACGAAATCTGGAGTACTCTCTGGGCTGCCCAGACCCTCAGTTGCCGGGTGTCTTGGGGTGCGGCGGAGGGCTCTGGGGGCTTGTCGTCGCGTGACCTTTCCAACGCCGGGGAGCGCCGGAGAGCCCCCAGATGGACTCAGCGGGCGTTTTTGAAGGGGCCCCAGGACACACAAATAAATACACACAAATAAAAGGATTCCCAATATTTTCCAATATTTTCTGGCTTTCTGTCTTCCCCCCCCCCACTTCCCATATTTTTGCATATTTTCCTGGGAGTCGATGATTAATTGTGTCTGTGTGTTTCTTTCCCTCCTGAGTTTTGAAAGTCCCATGCCGGTTCAAGAGGCCAAGACGCGGCCCCAGAGCGTTCCGAGACGACCTCGAAACGGCCCGAGGGGCCGCCGAGACGCCACGCGAGAGCTCCAAGAGGATTCTCCGGAGGCCCGAGCCATTGGTTGTCCAGCCTATTTTTGCACGGTTTTAGCCTTCTCACCTTTTCAAACCGCCCCCGTTTTATTGTGAAAGATGGAGTGCCCGAAGAGGGCAAGCAGCGTCCACAAACCTGCACCCCAGAAGCCTCGGAAGGGCCAACGAACTCCCCGGATCTCCCCCGGGACCGCTCCAGGCACCCCCCCAGAGGGCACGTCAGCTCCAAAAAGCGTCTCCGACGATTCCAAGAGCGCCCTCTCTCCCAAACAGGGCGTCGTGCGTGCGAGCGGGAACGAGGACGAGCGAGGACGGAGAGGAGAGCGAGCACGCGAAGCAAAGGGGTCAGCGGAAGGCAGAGGATAACGAGAGCTAGGGAGAAGAAAGAGGGCTGGAAAAATCGAGGAGGGAAGCCACAGAGCCGCGAAGATCACCGAACCGGAGTCCCCCGGATCGGCGGCACTGGCCGGAGGCCATGACACGTCGGTCGGAAGAAGTAGGTAAAAACATGAAGTAGGACGGCGGATTAGGTTGATTGGGTCCAGGCACCCCCAGAGAATACAACACACAGCAAAAGCGTGTCGATTCTTGAAGTAGGAAGGCGCTTGAAGTAGATTGGGATCTGTGAGCCCACAAGTACCTACTTTCAACGACCGGCGTGTACAATAGACGGAGTGCCCGAAGAGGGCAAGCCGCGTCCACGAACCTGCACCCCAGACGCCTCGGAAGGGCCAAAGCCTCGAACCCAGGCCTCGTCGTCGCCACTCGCCGTCGACCTTCCTCGTCGCCGTCGGTCCTCGCTCCGGATCCTCGCCGTCGTCGTCGTGGTCGTCGTGGTGGTCGTCGTCGCTGTCATCGCCGTCGTCGTCGTCGTCGTCGTCGTCGCCGTCGTCGCCGTCGTCGCCGTCGTCGCCGTCGTCGTCGTCGTCGTCGTCGTCGTCGTCGTCGTCGTCGTCGTCGTCATTGTCGTCATCGCGGTCGTCGTCGTCGCCGGCGTCGCCGGCAGCGGCGGCGGCGCCGGCGGCGCGGCGGCGCGCCCGGGCCAGGGCGCCGTTCTGCGTGCCCTGGGCCCGGCGCCTGGCCTCGCCCCCGGGAGGGGTGGGGGGGCGGCGCGTGCGCGCCTCGCCGCGGCGAGGCCCCTCCTCCTCCTCCTCCTCCTCCTCCTCCTCCTCCTCCTCGTCCTCCTCCTCCTCCTCGTCCTCCTCCTCCTCCTCCTCGTCCTCCTCCTCCTCGTCCTCCTTCTCCTCCTCCTCCTCGTCCTCCTCGTCCTCCTCCTCGTCCTCCTCGTCCTCCTCCTCCTCGTCCTCCTCCTCCTCCTCCTCGTCCTCCTCGTCCTCCTCCTCCTCGTCGTCCTCCTCCTCCTCCTCCTCCTCGTCCTCGTCCTCCTCCTCCTCCTCGTTCTGCTCCTCCTCCTCCTCGTCCTCCTCTCCGTTGCCATTTTGGCTCAAGCCCCTTTCCTGCCCGAAGGGGCAGTTGAGTGCAGCGCGCGCGAAAGGGGCGCAGCTGTCCCGAGCCTGCCGTATTTCTCTGATGTCGTGGCGCGACAGCGAGGCGGCCTCGCGGGCCCCATGGCGAAGTCAGGCGGTGCGGGAGCAGGCTCTTGTCGGAGCGGCTGTCGAGGCGGCGGTGGAGGCAACAGCGCGGGCCTTGTCTCGCGCCCTTCCTCCTCCCAAGGTGCGCCCGTCAAGCCGACCGCCGAGCCCGCAGCCCCTGCGCCTGAAGCCGTCGTCGGCGCGGCTGCTGGCGATCTCCAACGGCGAGGAGGGCCTCATGTCGAAGTGCGCGCCGCCTTCACCTCCCCCAGGCCTCTGGGTGGGGCAGGCGCCGCCATCGACGAGGTGGGCCCGCAGCCTTTTCTCGCTATCCTTCGGCAGGCGGCCGGCAACGCCGGGCCAGGCGGTCACCGGTGGTCGAGCAGGGCGCCCAAACCAAAAAGGAAAAAACAAATAGACACATCCAGCAAAAAGGACAAGACATGCAAGAAGAGCAGCAAGCAAGATCGTGGGCCGCCGTCGGACTGGGATGGTGCCAGGCCCGCGATCCGCTGAACCTGCACGCGAAACCGTTCATTCCTGCGTTCCAGCCGGCGGACTCAGACACTGATGACGGAAGTGCCTGTGATGGCTGGCGTTGGTGGCATCGGGCTGAAGAGTACCCGAAGACCGTGGGCATGGTCACCGCCGACGTTGGCATCGACGAGGGCTGCTTCTTCTGTGGCACGCGGGTCGGCAACCACATCCTGTCGGTCCTGGACTTTGCTGGCCAGTTCATCCAGCAGTTCGAGGACGTAGACCAGGACAAAAGCTTGAAGGCGGTGCAGTCTGGCAGCTGCGCCAACTACCTGTGCAAACGCTCGGGTGTGATGAACCCGCGGAGGTTGGGTCACACACCAGCGAGGAAGCGTTCGAGGATGAAATTCAGGAGAAGACCGTGAAGCCATCCAACACCTAGCAGCTGGACATGCAGGAGGATGCGACCAACTGCGACACGTTCGACGGCGAGGTGGCAGACGAGGTGCAGGAGACGTTCGAGGATGAGGGTCAGGAGAAGATCGAGAAGGCATCCGACAACGATGAGCAGCTGGACCTGCAGGAGGTTGCGACCCCCAGCGACATGTTCGGCGCCAAAGTGGACGATGGGGTGGAGCAGGAAGGTGGGGACCCCCCCGACAGCGACGGCGACGAGGCGTACAAATTCAACGTGGCGGTCAAAAACTTGTTCAGCCCGTTCGTGGATGCGGAGCTGGACGCGAAACCGCCGCCCCGAAGCGCTGCGGAGGAGAAGGGCTTCGACGTGGGCGAAGTGGCTGAGCCCAGCTCGGACATCTACCCAGAAGCCTTCTTCGCGGATTTCAAGGGTTCCGATGGAACAACGGAAACCTTACATGAGTTCCTGGACTGGGCGAGCAAACACAAGGCAGTTTCATCGTGATGATGCTGCTGTGGCTGTTCCTGGAATGCGTCAACGGCCTCGTCGGCACGTCGTGGGCGAGGGCTCCAATGTGTTCAAGGCTCTCCAAGTCTGAGGGGGAAGGTCGGGGAGGGGGCGGCTTCTGACTGCAGTCTGGGCTTCCCCCTCCTGGTCCCTGGTGTTTTCGGCGCGCTGTCTGCGCCCTGCAGTCGGGGGTCGGCCTCTCCCCGGCTGCCCCGCGCGCCCGTCGTGGCGAGCGAGTCCGATTGGACCCGAGGTATTCTCCAAGTCTCTAAGCCTCCTCCTCCTCCTCCTCCTCCTCCTCCTCCTCGGCATCGTCCTCGTCCTCCTCCCCCTCCTCCTCCTCCCCCTCGCCCCGGGAGGGGTGGGGGGCGGTTGGTGTGTGGTGGGGCGCACACATACATACTAATACTGTGTCCTCACTGGAGGCGCGCGTCCGACCCGAACATGATAATATGCTCATCTTGCAAAATGTAGTTTCCGGGGCGGCGTGGCCAGAAGGCGCCCCCACGGCGCATGTGCCATGAGATTTCTCGGTGCGCACGTGGCCCCTGAATGGGGGCCACGCGCACATAGTAGTAGTATGTTCGGGTGACGCCGATGTGTGGGGAGGCGCCGCTCCACGCTGTCGGGGAGCTCCACACTTGAGGAAACCTTGCAAGTGCACTTGGCACGCTCGGCCCCGCCACCGCTGGTTTCTGAGCGCTCGCATCGTTTTTTGTTGCCCAAGATATTGCGGACAAAAACAATTCAGATGGCTTTGCGACAAACTGCCAATACACGCTGGCGCGCTGGTGTTGACATTCAGGGCCATGTCCAAATCTGTGTTTATCTTGTCCGCGAACTCCTCCTGGCAAATTGTGCCGCTCCCCCCCCGCCACGACGGGCTTTACTTCCACCAGCACACCATTGCCGATAGCTTCTACGGGATCAGACCCATCCTTCATGCTGTCATACATGATTTGCTGCGTACACACCGATTTCACTGGATCACAACCGCGGTCTCAGGATGAGGCACCATCTGAAACGGTGCCTCTACCTTCTTCGACTCAACCTGAATCGAGCTCGGAACGCGATGTTTTTTTGATGAGTTGCGTTGCTTTGCCGTCTGCCATGGAGACTGGCCACGGCGACCCCTGTTACCACAGGTTCCCCCCGACCCGCCACCAACTCAGCAATCGCAGTCACCACGGATATGCGATCTCCTGCCTTGCTCTGAACACAAAAATAACAGGAATTAACGGGTGACGACTGCGACGACGAATCCTGGACCCGATCAGAAGTCGAATGCCTCATTCCCACCCCTTGGCAACGATTTCGCAAGTTCCTCCCCATCTTTAACGCGGGGAGAGGGGGGGGAAGAGGGTAATTACAGGAGAGGGGGGGAGAGGAGGGAAGAGGTGTGGGAGGGAAGGGACATGGAACAAGGGGAGAAGGACGAGGAGAGGAGGAGAGATAAAAGGAGGACGAGGGAAGGAGGACTAGGAGAGGACGAGGAGAGGACGAGAAAATGACGAGGAAAAACGAAGAGGAAGAAGAGGAGGACGAGGAGAGAAGAGAAAAAGAGGAGGAAGAGGAGGGCGAGGAGAGGAGGAGAGGAGGACGAGGAAGAGGAGAGGAGGAACAGGTCCTCGAGGTCCCCGACGCCCCAGAACGACAACCATGGGCACGCCCGTTCGGACGTTCGGCGGAGATAGAGGGAAGAATTGTTTCACCCAATTCGCGAAAACCGATTACTTCCCCTTTCTTTTCATTCGTTTCCTCTTCTTTATCCTCCCCCTCAGAATCGACCCCGCGACCTCTCCTGGAAAGCGTTTTGATGAACATGTCCGGGTGAATCCAGAAGTGGCGACGAGGGCTTCGCGGAGTCTCACCAAACTTACCCATTCTCCTTGTCCTTCTCTGGAGGCCTTCGGGGGATCCGGACAACTCAAGAAGCTCCCTCGGAGGCATCCCGGAGGCCGTCAAAGGACCAAACCAGGGCCACACTCGCGCAGCATACCCTCGATCCTCGAACTTCGGAGACGGATCCTGTTCCGCCTCGGTCCTCGATCCTCGAAGCTCCTCGAACATCGGAGATAAATCTGCGATCCTCGAACCTCCTCCAACCTCCTCGATCCTCGAACCTCCTTGAACCAACCTCTTCGAACCTCGATCGTCAAACTAGAGGCCTCCTAGGTGGGGTCGGAGTAGATGGGGTCGGAAGATCGCGCCGCATCGCCGATACATCGGCAATACATCGGCGATACATCGGCGATGCATCGGCGATGCATCGGCGATGCATCGTAGACTTCGGCAATGCATCGGCGACGCTGAAGTGAAGCAAAACGGGCTGCACATCGAGCCGCATCGGCGATGCATTGGCGATGCGGAGCGATTCTCCGACCCCATCTACTCCGACCCCATCTAGGATGCCTAGACAAACCTCGGCCCCGGATCTGCGATCCTCCTCGGTCCTCGATCCCGGACGCCGTGGGGACGGCCGCTGAGGCCGATCCCCCCGCCGCAGCCTCGGCCTCCAGCATGGCGAGGTGCAGCTCCACCCTCCTGACAAGGGCGCGCCGGTGGAGGACTTCCGTGAGGACGCACCGTCAGGGCCGTCCTCGGCGACGGCGTAACCGACGTCCGGCCGAACTGGCAGCGAAACCGAAGCCGACCGAAACCGACAGGCCGCAAGCAGCCCACAACTCGCCATCGCTCGGACGTCCATTCCCTGTTTTTTTTTTTTTCGGTATCGCGCGTGGTTTTCGCCAAATGATCAAGGATGCTCCTTAATAATCCCCGCCGAGAACAAAAGCACACGTCCGAGCGATACCAAGACAAGGGCACAACGGTTCAGCAACTAAACGAACGGCCGACCGAGCCGGAGCGACCGAACACAACCGACTGCGACGCAGCTGGACCGACCGAACGGCGGGCACCCTCGGAGGAGCGGTCGGGAGAGTCACGAACAGCCTCTGCGCGCACCTGTCTCTGCCCAAGGTGATCGTTTTTTACTCATTGTGTTGCCGATCGGCGCGGGCCGCCCCCCCCCCCCATGGAGTAGAGCTTGGCTGTTTTTTTTGACGCCTGTTTCGAGCGGGGGGAGTCTCCCCCAGAGGCAGCACTCTTGCAAACAGCCGCGCTATAAGCAGAGGTCCGGAGCCAGTCCCCCCGCCTCCACCTTGCCGCCCTACACCGAAACGCCGAACAAAAAGAGCTCACTAGCATGACCTCGCGATCAGGTGCCTTGCTGGACCCCCCGATGTTCCGTCCCTGAGGCCGAGCTTTCTTCCTGAATCGTTTTCTGACCAGCTCAGGGGCCCAGCGAGGGCCCCTGGATGTCGAAAGCGCTCCAAAAAACAGCCGTGATTCCCTCACGACGCGAGGTCCTGGTATTAAGTCGGGCCTGTCCCCCTACAGGGGGATTTTGCAGGACAAATGTAGAAATACTCAACAAATATTCCAGAAATAACACAACATCGTCAAAACATCGTCCCCAGACTATTTTTGTTAAAGCTATTTTTGAATATTCCCCCTGTAGAGGGACAGGCCCGACTTAATCCTGGTATCGGGGAGGCGTAAGACTCGGGTGCGGTGGGCTCGGGTTGGCCTGGCGGGGGCCATCATGAAAATGACGAGATCCAATCTGAAATTTGACGCGGGCTCCCACTGCAGACATCCCACGAAAACCGGACCGTCAAAATCCTGGACGCGCTCGTCAAAACTTCGACTACGCCTTAGGTCGGGCCTGTTCCCCCACAGGGGGATTTTGGATGACACGTAAAAATAGCCAGACAATATTCAAAACATCGAACATACCCCCAACATGGTCCGCATGTTATTCTTTGGCTATTTTTCTGAGTATGCCCCCTGTAGAGGGACACGCCCGACTTGAGGCTGACCCCAGTTTCGGCTCACTCGAGTCTTACGTTTCGCCAATGGTATGCAAACCCGCTCCTGCCCCGGCAACACACTTGGACGCCCGAGTTATCCGGGGTAACTCGGGTCCGGGGTAACTCGGGTTTGAGTTCCCGAAAAACGAACCCGAGTTATCCCTGACCCGAATTATCCCTGATGATTCGGGGCTCTGGACGCCCGAAATATCCGGGGTAACTCGGGTCCGGGGTAACTCGGGTGTGAGTTCCCGAAAAACGAACCCGAGTTATCCCTGACCCGAGTTACCCCTGATGATTCGGGGCTCTGACACACTGCGGTCCGCTCTGGCGGATGTGGGAGAGGGCCGGGCAGTCGGCCGCGCTTGCCGGCCGTGCTTCCCCGGCAGGTGCCCGCCTCGGGGCAGCCCTCGCGCGCGCGCGCGTGCGGCTCCCATGGAGGCAGAGCCCACGACACGGCGGCAGGTCGCGGCGCGACGAGGACGATCCAGACAGCTGGCGCCTCGAAGACATCGATGCGGTCGGGTGGTCCGCATTGTTGGCTTCTGAAGCCTGGGTTCGGGCCTCTGGGCTGACCATTCGCGACTCCGGGGAAAAACAGCAGCTCTGCGGAAAATGCCGAAGCATCGGATGTTTGGGAAGGCCGTGTGCTTAGAGGATGCAGCAAAAACAAAAGCACAAGCTGTCGGAGGTTCGCGCAGACTTCTCGGGTCGGCGTTGAACCTCCCTGGCGACGCCTCCTGCGACACCCCTGGTGCGCTTAGGGAGCACAGCGTCGACCCGAAAAACCTGCGCGAGCCATTTATGTTTGACCATCGGTCGGAAGAAGTAGGCAGAAACATGAAGTAGGAAGGCGTTGAAAATAGATTGGGTTCCGTCCTCCCCCTAAGTCGGCGGTGGACAAACCTCCCTTTGACAAACCTCCCCTTAGTGAAAACGGCCCGGGACCGAAACCGACGGACCTGGACCCGCAAAAATGACGGCCGCGACGCCCTCTCGCGAACCGGAAACGGCCAATTCCTTAATCGACGTGTCAGGGTAGGAGGTCTATCCACCTCCGACTAAGGAGGACGGAACAGGTGGAGCCACTCGGTCCTGAGAAGTAGGAAGGCGCTTAACGCAGATGGGAACCTGGGAAGCCAACAATAACCGCAGAGGGTCTTTATTGATGCCCCCCCCCAAAGCTCTCGGCGGGGAATGGCAACTCGTCCCTCCTCCTCCTCCTTCCCCTCCCTCCTCCTTCCCCTCCGTCCCCCTCCTCCTCCTCCGAGGAGGAGGCCGCCAGGCGTTGAGCGAGGCGTTGAACCTGGGAGTCCCCCAAAAATGCCTGCTGCCAACGACCGATGGGCACGCGATGCCCTCAGCAGCTTGTCTGCAGCGAGTCGACGTCTGGCTCTTCCAGAAGGTCTGGGGGGGGGTCCGTGGCTGGCCCCAGGTCGGGCATGCCCCCCCCCTACAGGCGGGCGACAAAACAGATGGTCGAAAGATAATCAGAAATAGCCCCAAACAGTCAACAAACCGCCCCCAGACTATTTTGTGGACTACTCTTGAAGATTCCTCGTGTAGCGGGACAGGTCCGACTTCAGGCTGGCCCCGGAACCCGTGACCCGATGATCTCCCGCATGGTCTCGCTTGCGGATCCGTCCCCGACCCGGGAAACGGTGACTTGACCGTATGGTCCCCCGTGTGGTCTCTCTCTTGCCTCGTGATCTCCCTCGTGGTCTCTTCTGCGGTCTCCCTCCATGGTATCCTTCCTGCTCTCCCACGCGGTCTGCCCTCTGGCCCCTTTCATGGTCTTCTTCGCGGGCTCCCTCATGGTCTCTCCCGTTGTCCCCCTTTCTGGTCCCCCTTCTGATACGCATGATTGTCTTCTTTGCGGTCTCCGTTGTGGCTTCCATCAAAGTCTCCCACATTAGGGAGCCCACACAAGACGTACGCCCCCAGCTATGTACATGAACACGGCCCCTAGATTCGCGAGACCGGCCGCGTTATACGAACATTTGTGAAATGCGTGCTCTCGAAAACAGCGTGGATTCATGTACATGTACGTCCTTCTTTCGCTCCTGACACATGACCTCCCACACGGATCCTCGTACGGTCTTCCTGGCGGTTTCCCGGGCTCTCCCTCCTGTTCTCCCGTATGGTCTGCCTTATAAGTCTTCCTTCTGGCCTCCCCTGTGATCTCCCTTGTGGCATCCCTTCCCTTATGAGGGTCTTTAATGATGCACCCCTCCCGTGAGCTCTCGGCGGGGGATGGAAACTCGTCCCTCCTCCTCCTCCTCCTTCTCCTTCCCCTCCCTCCTCCTTCCCCTCCCTCCTCCTTCCCCTCCCTCCTCCTCCTCCTCCGAGGAGGACGCCAGGCGTTGAGCGAGGCGTTGCCTATTCGTTCCTGCCCCCGTTGATGGCCTCCGTCCTGGTGTCTTCCTCATGGTCTCTCTTACAGGGCAGTTTTTTAAACATAGTTTTTTTGATATGGTTTTTTCAATACAAGATTCATGTATGGATACATTTGTGCATGAACTCATCGTTGTTTTTACATACTACATCCCTGCATTTTTGATACATGATCCGCACGCGGAGCATGTATCAAAAACGGCACTGTGGTGCCGCCCCGATGGTCTCGTGCGTGGCTTGCCGTCTGTTCTCCCACATGGGCAATACGATGCGCAATCTCTGTGCTCGCCGTCGCTCGGACGTCCACTCCCCGTGCATGTCTCGACTTCGCGCGTGCACTTTCTCGCCAGGGGAACAAGCATGCTCCCCGATGGTGCCAGCCGAGAAAGAGTGCACACGTCCGAACGATGCCAAGTTTAGTCTTCCCACTGCACCGGCCTTGCAGACGTGCTGCAGCGGATTTTTGATTGGATTTCTGTCAACGCAACACCCCGCGAGATTCACCTCGCTATCCGGAACGAAATTCTCCAGGACACTCCAGGCCCATCCTGTCGTTCTCCGAACGACATCCGCTCTGCGATGTTGGCGCCGTGGCTGTCACTGACCTTGCCGTCGCTCGGACGTCCATTTCCCGTGCATTTTTCAGTTTCGTGCGTGTTTTTTCGCTCGATGATCCAGGATGTTCCTCGAGGGTCCTCGCCGAGAAAAAAATACACGCGTCCGAGCGACGCCGGGGGCTCTTCGACGATGCTGACCGGGGCCCCCTGCCGCCCCTAAAACGAGGACTCCACTAAGGGGTACTTTGGCCAGTGGCCGGGGGAACCCAACCCTCCCCGATGTTGGCGACGCTGCCATGCCAGAAAGAGCCCTAAAGTGGCACCTTTTGGTAACTTTCCAAAGTACCCGTTAGTGAGTACCCGTTACGGTTAAGTCGGGCCTGTCCCCCTACAGGGGGATTTTCGGCGAAAAAAAAAACCTACCCCAAAAATACCCCCAAAGGGTCAAAACATACGCAACAAATCGTCCCCAGACTATTTTTGGCATTTAAAAAAAATGAAAAAATATGTTTTCAAATTTTCGTCGAACATCCCCCTGTAGGGGGACAGGCCCGACTTAACTTTGCGGTGCCGCTGAAGGGTGCACCGTCTCGTGATGCCGTGCACCGCCTGCCCCGCCCCCGCCTCGGCGCCGCAGGGGGGGGGCCCGCGCAGCGAGGAGCCCGCGCGCGAGCGAGGCCGGGGCTCGACCGGCACCGCGCCGTTCCTCCCCCGTGCCCTCTCCGCCGTCCCTCGCCCTGCCTCCGATGCACCGCTGCAGTTTCAGTCGGACTTCGTTGGAGAGGGCACGCGGGAGGGCACGAGACCCTCCCGAGGGCCACGCTGCCACAGGGATGCAGGAGGCATGGGTCGCGAGGCACAGGGCACGAAGGTACAGGGCAGTTTTTAGTGCATAGGATCTTAAAAAAAACATAGGCTTTTTAATACATGCTTAATTTATGAATCAAGTTATGCATGAACTCATCGTTGTTTTTAATGCTAAATCCCTGCATTTTTAATACATGATCCGCACGCGGAGCATGTATTAAAAACGGCACTGTACCCTTGATCTGGCAGGGTCGACCTACCAATCTGGGCCGCCTGTATGTTGCTACCATCGTACCTGAGGACCACACCCCAGAAACAATTTCGAGCACCCCAACAAAAATGTCGAAGCAGTGTCGAGCGAGTGTCGCCTCCCAGTGCGGCCGTCTCCGCTGTCCCTCGCCCTGCCTCCGATATGCACCTTGCGAGGCGGGGCTTCTCCACAGCCACCGCCTGGTAACCGACGCCGTGGTGCCCCAGCGGGCGGTGGGTGTGAGTGTATTTCGGCCCACGGGGGTCCGAATCTGTCCACATCCACCGCCTGCCGAGGCTCCGAAAACTGACCCTCCAAGCGGTGGATATGGATACATTCCCGCCTCGGACACCTCCGCAGTCATGTTGCGTCCATCGTACAGTATACTGAGGGACCACACCCCAGAAGCCACTTCGAGCACACCCAGAAACATGTCGAAGCAGTGTCGAGCGAGCATCGCCTCCCACGGCGGCCCGGCACGTGGAAACCCTCAGGTGTCGGCGCTCTCTTTGCGCTCGAAATTCTTTCTGGCCGTCAAGGCGAAAGTAGGTTTAGGTCGGGCCTGTCCCCCTACCGGGGGATTCTGGGCGAAAATTCAATATATTTCAAAAGATATTGAAAAATGCGCAGCACTAGTCACAAAATCGTGCCCAGACTATTTTTCCACTCTTTTTGAATATTCCCCTTGTAGAGGGACGTGCCCGACTTACAAGTAGCTGGGAACATCGTAAAGCTGCAGCAGAACGAAGCCAGAGCGGAAACGCTGCAGCAGAACGGAAACAGAGCGCAAACGGCCCATGGGACATCGCCCAAACACCGGTTACAGAGGAGGACAAACGGCATAAGCATAAACTTCTGTGTCAGTTTGAGCTTGCCTCTTGGCATATAAGAAGAATAATAATGGTGAGGGGAAGAATAATAATACTAGTACTAACAACAAAAGAACAACAATAACAACAACAATAATAACACTACGAATGCTAAGAGTCATAAGAAAGAGAAGCACCATCGCTTGGTTCTCCGCGCGGATTTCTCGGATCTGCGCCGGACCTCCCTCCCTGGCGCGCGGAGCGCGCCAGGGGCGGCGCTGGAGGCGCCGCCAGGGGTGCTCCAGCGCGGATCCGAGAAATCCGCGCGGACCTCCGAGTTTTCATGTTTGTGTCATTCTTCGCTCCCCTAGTTTTAGGTCGGGCATGCCCCCCTACAGGCGCAGTCTGGACGAACAATAAGCAGTAGTTTAAACACAGATGCCGCCAACATGACTCAAACAATGGTCGGAACATCGCCCCCAGACTATTTCTAAACCTGTTTTTCAACATTCCTCCTGCAGATCGGGAGCGGCCAAGAGGGGGGTGTCCAAGAGGGGGGGGTGCAAATCATGACCGGCGGCAGGTGCGCGGCCCAGCAGGGGGGCCAGGGACGCAATGGAATAAGAAGAGGCGCCATGAAATCTGGGGAGATATCATGGCCCCCGCCATGATATCCCCCCCCCCCTCAGTCATCACCCCCCTCTCTGCCGCCCCCGGGTAGAGGGACACGCCCGACGTAACCCCAGCTCAGTTCGAGCCCCGAGCGAGGTCCGGGTAGCTAGCTCGTTCTGCCGCCCGCTCCGCGGCCGCCGTGGGCAGATCGACGCCGCCCGCGCACCCCGTGCCCCGCGCGAGGGGTGCGAGGAGGAGGAGGAGGGCGAGGAGGAGGAGGAGGAGGAGGAAGAGGAGGAGGAGGAGGAGGAGGAGGAGGAGGAGGAGGAGGAGGAGGAGGAGGAGGAGGAGGAGGAGGAGGAGGAGGAGGGGGGAGTGCGGGCCCGCCTGTCGCTGCTGGGGGCGACGTTGAGCTCCACCCTGCGCGCGGCGCCGGTGATGGCCTCGCTGCGCCGGTGGGGCTGCGTGCAGTTTGATTTGACACGTCGCATCGCAAAGGCTAAGACCAGCGAGATCGAGAGGAAGTCGCTGGCGGCCCTGCCCCCAGAGGGAGGGGGACCAGCAACTCACTCCCCACCTCACCAGTCGAAGCCGATCCACCGCTGTCCACAGCACAGGTGAAGTCCGCAAGAGGCACAAGCTCATCAAGCAGCACATCCCTATTATTGGGATGGATGCCTCTTCTAATTCGAGAGAGGTTGCCACGGGGGGGCTGCGTGCAGTGGAGGCTCATGCCAAGAGTAGGGGGACAGCCAGTGGCGTAAACATGAAATCTCGGAGGTCCGCGCGGACTTCTCGGATCGGCGCTGGACCCCCCCCCCTCCCTGGCGCGCGGGGCGCGCCAGGGGTGGCGCAGGAGGCGCCGCCGGGGGGCTACAGCGCCGATCCGAGAAATCCGCTCGCACCTCCGAGTTATTATGTTTATGCTACTCTTGGTTCCCCTGAAGAAGCACCCTGCTTGCCTCCAGGGTGCCATGGGCTTCTTGGGTTTCAGAAGTTTTTCAATGGAAAGCGTGACGTTCCCACACCCATGATCGGTGGACGTCCTGGGGTCTCTGGGTCGGGTTTCTTGTGGAAGGTTTCTTGTGGACTAGCCTTCACTGTACCGTTCCCGCCGAGAGGGAGAGGCGGAGAGCAGAAAAACCAGCCTCCTCATAAGCAGCCCGACGAGCGAAGCAGTGTCGTGAGCGCACCCAAGGTCATTTGAACATGCCACGGCTGTCTGGTAAACGTCCAGGGCCGTTTGGTAAACGCCAAATATGGGGCCCGGGGTGTTCTTGTTTCCCGGAAGTGGAAGCATAGGGGAAACACATGAAAAACAAGACAATATAGCAGAGGCAGTCGGAACAGGAGGACGGGAGAAGAGGAACAGGAGGATGGAAGGATTTCCCCTTTGTCAGATGACGACGAGGACGACGAGACCGGAACTTGCAACGCCTCACAGATGAGAGCTGCCGGCAAGCGAGACAAGAAGGGAGATTGCCGCACCATGGGATTCTCAGTGCCGCGCTGGTCGTACTGCTCGTTCAGCCCTGTGCGCGCGCGTCGCATCAACGGGACCTGGCCCTCTGGCGACAAACACAGTGACGAATTTCCCGCGCCGAGCTCGGCGTCCAAGAGCCTCTCTGGGCAGCAGGACCGTCAACACACAACTCACGAAACTACCTGGGAACGGGGTCGGAGCGCTCCAGTGGCTGGCGACACGAAACCTTAGAGTCGTCGGAGGACATTACGGTCTGGGCCCTCTTCTGCCTCCCCCTCCTTTTAAGCCTTCTCCTCCCCTCCCCCTCATCTTGGCACTGGTCCTGGGCCTTGGGGATGCCCTCCTCCAACCCTGCTCGAGCCTTTATCGACTTTGGGATGGCAGAGAAGAACTTACATGAAAACGCCGCGCGGTGGAACACCCAGTACATGACACCATGGGCGCACTCCTGGCTCACTCTGGTAGCCGCTGTAGTGCGATGAGACCGTCTTGGGGAAACCCAGGGAACTGTTACCGGCCCTCTTGGCGTAGATGGTTACACACGTCAACAACAACAATACAGCATGCAAGTGGCGGCAACATCTGGATCGTTAGCGGGATCCCCGCAGCACCCTGCCTCGATTTTGGACAAGGATGGCGGGGGGGGGGGTGATCATATCTGTCCGCTGTTCGCTGTGCCATTGTCCCTCCCAAGCACAGATCCGCAACCGTGCCCCCCCTGGCACGCTGAGGCGTGCTACAGAGAAGCCTGAAACAGCCGATGTTGGAAAATCAATGAACGTGGAAGTGGCCAGGGCTGGAACAACTGGGAGGGGCCGGGACACACCCGAAGCACTTGGGACTTGGTTGCCAGGGCTGGGAAAATGAAAGGAAACCGACCAAGGATGGACCGAGTGAAACGGGCTGGCCCTGGCCACGTTTTCCAGCTTCCCTGTGTAATGCCAAGTGCTGTCTGATAGGGCTCCTGTACTTGTGTGAGGTGCCCCCACCCTCTCAGGAAGAGCCCAACGGCGTGCATCCTCTTCCCGAGGCCACACTCCGCACCAAACTGCAACATATTCGCGCTCCCGAGGCCCAAATACCTGCACGACGGCCCAATGTCGCTCCAAAACGGGCCAGTCTGGCCCCAAGACTGCCCAACAAGGCAACCCACAAGGCCTTCGAGGCGTTCACCGAGAGCCCCACGAGCCTTCCGAAGAGGGCCTCGAGAGGCAAACATATTCGATAGCCTTGGTGTTTCAATGTGTGTTAGGGTTCTCGCCTCTTCGAGCTTCTGACGTCCTAAGTCGACCAAATACGGCCAAGGGGGGCTCCAAGACGGCCCAAGAAGCGCCCACTAATGCCCAAGAGGGCTCCCAGACGGCCACAAGGGGGGCCCAAGAGGGCTCCAAGGCGGCCCTAGAGGCGCCCAAGAATGCCCAAGGGGGTCCCAATGAGGGCCCACGAACCAAGAAAGTGAACACGAACTGGCAATTCGAGCCTTCCGCCCCAATGGAGCTCAGGACACCCCAAGCTGGCCAAACGATGCCCCCCCAACAAGGCACCGTGAGGCAAACCCATTGGTGTCCCGTAGCTTCTCCCAACCATCCTGTGGTGCTGGGTCCTCGTTTTCAAGAGGCAGCGTTGCGCGTCCTCTCACTTCCTCTCGCCCTCCTCCCCCTCCTCCCTGACCTCTGCCATCATGAGTGTGCGCCCCCCCCCCCCCACCCAGAACAGCGCTTCGTGGCCCCATAGGGAGCTCCACCGAAGGCCCCAGTGGCTGCACTCGCATGGGGGACCCCCGCCCATCACAGCGCCTCGTGGCCCCGTAGGGAGCTCCACCGAACACCCCGGTGGCTGCATTCGCATGCGGGACCCCCACCCAGTACAGCCTCTAGTGGCCCCATATGGGGGCTCCACCGAAGGCCCCAGTGGCTGCACTCGCATGCGGTGCCCCCGCCCAGTGCAGCGCTTCGTGGCCCAATAGGGGGCTCCACCGAATGCCCCAATGCCTGCACCCGCATGCGGTCCCACCACCCAATGCAGCGGTCAGTGGCCCCATAAGAAACTCCACCGATGGCCTCAGTGGCGGCGTCCGCATGCGGTTCCCCCACCCAGTGCAACGCTTCGTGGTCCCATAGGGAGCTGCACCGCAGGCCCCAGTGGCGGTGTCCGCATGCGGTTCCCCCATCCAGTACAGCGTTTCGTGGCCCCATGGGGAGCTCCACCGAAGGCCCCAGTGGCTGCACTCGCATGCGGGACCCCGCCCAGTGAAGCGTTCAGTGACCCCAAAAGGAGGCCCCACCGAAGGCCCCAGTGGCGGTGTCCACATTCGGTTCTCCCACCCAGTACAGCGTTTCGTGACCCCATGCGGAGCTCCACCGAAGGGCTGCACTCGCATGCGTTCCCCCCCACCCAATACAGCGTTTCGTGGTCCCATAGTGCTGATCTCAGGGCCTCGGGGAGGCCCCTGGTGTGTATGTTACTGTCGTGCATGTGCGTGTTGATGCTGCAGCATTTTGGCTTGCCACAGGTGTGGAAAAGAGGGAGCGGGCGCTCCCTCCTCGGAGCCCAATCTGCATTGGTAGAGCGGAGCGTGCCGCGCGATAGCAGGCGCTGTCGCACTGGGAGGCACTCAGGCGAGTGCCAGCGGGACGCTAGAAGAAGGTGATGAGCACGGACAACGGGGGTCCCGGCGGTGCGATCAGGAGGTTCGCCGGGAGTGGAGCTGATGCCTTTCGGGAATATCGATCCTGGAAGAAGTGGGCGCGGGCGTACCTCATTGTGCAGAAGGCGAAGGGGACGCCTGCGACGGCCTTAGGGCCAACGCTGTTCACGCTGCTGGACGACGTCGCCGCCAAGGCGCTGGAGGTGGTCGACATGGACGACCTGGAACAAGACGGCGGCGAGCAGCTCATTTTCGAGACTCTTGACTCACGCTTCCCCGACGTGGCAGCCCACGATCGTCTCGGAGAAGCGCTGAAAGAGGTATTCACGATTCGCCTGGCCAAGGGCGAGTCGATGGCGGCATACTGTGGTCGAGCTCAGGCGGCGTTCGCCAAGGGCGAGACCGAGGGCGTAGTGCTGCCGAACATGGCGCGTGGGTACCTCCTGCTGCTGGGTGTGCACCTGGCGCCGCAGAACCTCGCGGTCGTCCTGGCTGCATCGAGCCGATCATACAAGGAAAAGGACGTGGCGATGGCGCTCAGGACGACGTACCCCAACGGCTTGGCGGACTTCGGCCAGCAGTCGAGGGCGTTCGGGGCGCACGTGGCAAGAGAAGAAGCCGACGAGAGCGACGACGTCTCGGACATCACGGCGCTGCTGGCGGGCTTCGACGTGATCGAGGAGACCGAGGACGGGGACATCCTGGACGAGAGTGAGGCCATCGAGATACTCGTGTCCTGGCGCGACCAGCGCAACAAGATCACAAAGGAGCAGCTGGCTCGGGGCTTTGGTCCGAAGAAGCCGGACACCAAGGCGATGGCGAAGCGAGTGCGATGCTACAATTGTGACGAGGTCGGCCACTTCAGCAGAGACTGCAAGAAGCCGCGTCGACAACGCCGTCCTCCTCCACGGGACCACAAGCACAAGGGCAAAGACGGCGAGAAGCGCAGCGACGTGGTCACGGTCTACGAGAGCGACACGGAGGAAGACGTCTTCGTGGCCGGCGACGGCGGGACCGAGGACATCGTCGAGGAGGAGACCTTCGAGTGCGACGTGTGCGACGACGAGCTCCGGCGGCCCTTGAGCGTCGGCGGCTGCAGCGACGACGACGAGTGCGACTGCGAGCTGACGGCCGACGAGGAGGACGAGGATCAGGACATCGACGATCTGTACGAGGCGTACACGGCGGCGAGGGACGACATGGACGACGTGATCGAGGCATACCACAGGCTGACCACGATGCACAGGGACGAGGAGATGCCAGAGGTGCTGACGGCGTCGGCTCACGAGCCGGGGTCGGGCGTGGTCGACACTGGGTGCGGCAAGGGAGTCATCGGCGAGAAGACCCTCAAGGAGCACAAGATGGAGATGGAGAAAGCAGGTCTCGCGGTGAAGACGATCAAGCAGACGAAAGCGACGACCTTCCGATTCGGCAACCAGGAGACACTGGAGTCGATCTACACCGCGGAGATCCAGTGCCGAGTGGGCGGTCGCCTCCTGGTGCTCCGCCTGTGCGTCGTCCCAGGCGAGACCCCGCTGCTGGTCAGCAAGCCCATGCTCAAGGCCCTCGGCGCGCAGCTGGACATGGAGCGGGACGAGATTCGGTTCGCCCGGATCAACGTCACGGTGCCGCTCCGGGTCGCGGCCAGCGGCCACTACCAGCTGAACCTATGCGAGAGGAAGAACGAGGACGGCAGGAGGATCCAGACGGCTGAGGTCGACGTGATGGTGACGGCGGAGCAGGACGACGGGCGGACAGCGAAGGAGAAGCTGGAGCTCGAGGAGTTCGTCGCGGCGGCGTCGTCAGGTTTTCGCTAGGGCCGAGCCGGAGCCCAGAGGCTGACGGCGACTGGGACGACACCGACGTCCTGTGGTCAGAAGGCGTCACCGATATCATGAGTCGGCGGGCCAAGCGGTCGGTGATCAGGGGTGTCCTCGAGGCACAGGCCCGGCTGGGCCGCCAACCGAAGTGTCTGGAGATCTTTTCTGTGCCACGAGTGACCCCCGCCCTGGAGTCCATGGGGTTCAAGAGCCTCGGTGCGTTCGACCTGCAGAACGGCTGGGATGCCCGCCGAGCGGCGGACCGCCACAAGATCCTACACATGGTCGACGTCGAGGAGCCGGAGTTTGTGGGCATGAGCCCTCCATGCGGTCCCCTTTCGATCCTGCAGAACCTGACGATGGCGGAAGTGCGACGAGACCCGGAGAAGTACCGCCAGGCAGTCAAGGAGGCGGTCGGGTACCTGAGGTTCTGTGTGGTGGTGGCTCGGATGCAGATCCGAGGAGGTCGATACTTCACGCTCGAGGCACCGCCGACGGCGAGATCCTGGGACTGTGCGTCGGTTCTGGGCCTGTGTCGGGTGGCGGGAGTACACCGGGTGTCGGTCAACGGGTGCCAGGTGG